GGAATAATGTGAGAATGGCCGGAGAATGATTCTGTCTATTCTCCATTCTGTTGGTTGTTTGTCGAGTCTTCCTATCGCCTCGTCTGAAATATGTACACCTTCGTATATTACGTTGACCAGTATCCAAATCTTGTTGATGAGCCCAGAGAAGAATTGAGGTTGTTTTGTAGGCGAAGGGGCAGTTCAAGGTTCTTGTCGACGGCTTGATGTTGCTCCTGGTCCGACCTTTAGACAGAACTCCTTTTCGGTTCAAGCTCGCATACGAATAAACATGCTGAGCTGCGCTCTTTACTGCGATTCAATGCGAATTCTGATAATGGTTGGTCCTTGACTATTCCGTCGAGTCGAAGGTGGAACTCGTTCTCGGCCTCTAACCCAATTCACCCGTTATCTCCCAACAGCCTCGGAAAATTACCACCAATGTGGCACGGAACTCGATAAATATGTCAAATCAAACTGTTTGCATGGTTGACTGACACGACCGTAAGGAGTATGATCTAAAGACATAGCCACAGCAGGACGCTCTCTAGCAGAGATTTCTCCCTCCCATATGTATGAGTACACGTTCACCCTATCCATTTGTAGGGTCCCCCTTCACGAGGCCGCGGAGCCAAAGCTGGACTACAAGCTTATTGCTCTATGCCTCGACGAACACTTTGGACAACTCTTTTGACATCAAATCTGGTAAGAGGTGCAACAAGAGACGTGATAAATTACGAGTCATATGTGCTCGCTAATAAATATGTCAATTCTAATTTAGGTTTTATAACACAACATGACGACAGACCAAACTGTCATGCAGCCTAGGAATTGTGGCCTTGGCCGCGTTTATCGCGTCCATAATCTCTCTAAATTCGAAATTATATAGGATGGAAATGGTTTATGTCTCTTTGACGCGTCTTGTCGCGTCCGGTAGGGACTTTTAGGGAAAATATGTAGACTCTCGACAGATTGAGCCAGCTACCATGAAAGGACGCGGGAATATCACTTGGCAATATCAGGATTTATTCTCAATGCAACATACGAACACATGGGTTCGACTCGAATCAGAAACGTAGCCACTTGCTGGAAAGACGACAAATTTGGCCGTACGCCGCCGGCCTCTTCCTCTTCCCTTCCTACAAGACGATACAATTTTGAGTTGTGGATTGGGCTTTCTAGTCTTATTTGAATTTGAGTTGGTGCACATTTGGCATAGGCCATGTTTCTCCACACCCCCATGATCTATGATAGTGTATTGATAGTTTGCACACAATCCGTGGTTTCAATCCAATCAATTTCTTTGCGACTTTTTCGAGTTTTCTTGCTCTTGCTCTAATCTATCACAAACTTCAGGCTCACGCTTTCACAAAGAGGTATAATATTCAACGTATTGAAAAGAGAACGATGAGATACTGTACGCGTGAAGATATTGGCCCTAGACACCGAGGTGTACAAACGGAATCCAGTCTACAAGTGACACCCCTGGCTTTTTTCGAAGCTTTTGCACAGAAAAGTGAAGTGCTTCTGCGGCTCTCCTACTATCCGGCCTTTCTCCGCCTTGAATAATATGCCCATAGAACTCGTCCGTTACCTCTGGCGCAAGGTCATCTCGTATAGACCACATCGTCGCTACCACCCCTCGGTACCCTGCCAACAACATACCTCCGGCAATATGAACCGCCTCTTCGGACAGCTCCTCGTCTCCAGTCGTCGTCTGACAGGCTGAGAGAAACGCAAACTCTGCCTTCGGAAGGTCGAGCTTGATGATTTCCTCGAGTGTCAGGTGGCCATCTTCGAGGATGAGTGCACTCTTCGTCGGCTCATCTGATTTCTGGACCCCATGACACGCTAAATGGATCCAGTCACAATCCTCCATCTCCTTCATCACTCGGGCCTTGGTGCCTTCCCGGCCCTCAAGGACAGAATGTGTTTGGTTACTAAAATGTCGACGAATGTTGTCCAACTCTTCTTTAGTGTTGGGAATGGAGGTTACTCCGGGAGCTGATGGTTGTATGACCGACAATAGCTTGAATGAAGAATCCACTACCAGATTGGGCGATTCAATCAAGGCAGATAGAGTAGGTGTGTAAGATGATATGACATAATCGCTCAGTTGCGAATCATTTGAGTCGGATTCGTATATCCCAGCTGCGTGAATAGGAAGGAAGGTGACCGGTCCAGTGGCACACCACCAGACCCGCGGAAAGACATCTGGATGAGGCTAAAAGGCATTGTTAGTAGGCTTAGATGCATCTTTATTCATGAGAAAATCCTCACAGAGAATGCTAATGAATCAATCACAGGCTTCACCAACCCATTCCATAATTCTGCAAGAATATGTTTGCAGGCTTCGTCATCGCTCTCATCTTTCACCTTTTGTGCGGCCCTATCGCCCCTTATTCTAATCCCACTTGAGCCTAGGAGTTCCTTGAGCTCATCTCGAAGTTCTGTTACCCTTGAGGATGTGATACCAGGGAGAGGTATATGGATTACCTCATCGACACCCTCAATGAGAGCAAGGGCGTCACAACGTTTCTCGGCTATGTTCAGAATGATTACAGGACCATGTCGAGCAGCATTCATCAGGTGAGATAATCCTAACGGCTTGAAAAAGCCTTCAAAGTTTGGAAGGGCTCGAACCTGTTCAATTATTGATTCTCGTTCAGCCGTCAATGCTCGATAGCGTCGTTGTTCTTCTTCTATAGACTGCGTTCCCCCGTTAGGGGATCTATTTGACTCGGAATTTTGATCCAACAGTCGAGAGACATGCAAAAGCCGATCTGCGAGGTCTGGATTGGATGCATATAGCTCATCGACAGGGGTTCGAAGCTGAAGGATCTGACTCCAAACGACTGATCGACCTTGCTCTAGCCACTGAACAGCCTTATCATATTGCCCAGCTTGTATGGCTACTGCTGCTGCATCTCGTATAATCTCCCTCATTCTTTTGAGATATTGGTGTCGAGTTTGTATGGAGAAACCTAGCCAAGCGATGATTGGAATGAGATCAATCACACATTCATAGGCGGATAATAGGGATTGGTGAGAGGTGAGAGACGCATATTTGATCCAATCTTGTACAGCATTTAAACGACCTAGTGGATGCCCAGCAAGTAATGTTGCAGCCGCAGACGAGCAGGATATCGCAGCCTCGGCATCATGAGGATCGTGGAGATGAAGAAAGCGGACCCAAAATGAAGACGAAAGAGTAATCATATAATAGCACTTGAGAGGAAGA